TTGCCTCAGTCTCCCAAGTAGCTGGGACTACAGGCACCTGCCACAACGCCCGGCTATTTTTTTGTTACAGTTGTAATTGCTGTTTAGTAGGCCCAGACTGGGCTCGAATCCGCTAACCTCAGTGTATGTAGCTGGTGCTGTAACCACTGTGCTATGGGCATTGAGCCATGAATGTTACATTTTTTTATATTGTGTAATAAAATGTTAACATCCGTAAGATCTGCATTAGTCAGTAAGCTAATATTTTCTGTTTTTCTTTATATATATACATATACATATATTTTTTTTTTGTTTTAGACACAGTCTCACTTTGTCGCCCTCAGTAGAGTGATGTGGCATCACAGCTCACAGTAACCTCCAGCTCCTGGGTTTAGGTGATTCTCTTGCCTCAGCCTCCCGAGTAGCTGGGACTACAGGTGCTCACAGCTGTGAGCTGTGACACCACAGCACTCTACTGAGGGCAACATAGTGAGACTCTGTCTCAAAAAATTAAAATCAAAATTAAAAATTAAAAAAAGTGTAAACCCTTTTTACACTCACTTATTCTTCTGGTTTGAAGATATAGTGATCCAGTGGATTTATTACTGCTATTTATTTTTTTTGAGACAGAGTCTCACTTTATCACCCTCAGTAGAGTCCTGTGACATAATAGCTCACAGCAACCTCACCTCCTGGGCTCAAGTGTTTCTCTTGTCTCAGCCTCCCAAGTAACTGAGACTATAGGCACCCGCCACAACACCTGGCTATTTTTTAGGGACAAGATCTTGCCCTGGGTTAGGGGCAACCCATGGGCTCAGGCAATCCATACACCTTGGCCTCCCAGAGTGCCAGGATTACAGGAGTGTGTTATTACTGCCCTTTTTTTTTTTTTTAAGAGACAAAGTCTTACTTTGTTGCCCTTGGTAGAGTGTTCTGGCATCACAGCCAACCTCCAACTCCTGGGCTTAGGCAATTCTCTCGCCTCAGCTTCCTGAGTAGCTGAGATTACAGGCGCCCACCACAACGTCCAGCTATTTTTTTGTTGCAGTTTGGCCAGGGCCGGGTTTGAACCCGCCACCCTTGGTATATGGGGCCAGCACACTACTCACTGAGCCACAGGCACTGCCCTATTACTGTTATTTTTAATAAATACTTTTTGGGGGGACAATCTCATTCCGTCACCCTGGATAGAGTGCAGTGGCATGATAATAATTCACTGCAACCTCAAATTCCTGGGCTCAAGTCATCCTCCTGTCTTACCCTCTTGAGTAGCTGGGACTACAGGCACCTGCCATAATGTCCCATTAATTTTTCTATTTTTACTAGAGACGGGATCTTGCTCTTGCTTAGGCTGGTATCAAATTCCTGGGCTCAAGGAATTCTCCCACCTTGGCTTCCCAGAGTGCTGGGATTGTAGGTGTGAGCCACTGTGCCTGGCCTGAATTGCTCAGTTTAAATTTCTATGTAGTAAATGGTATGTAACTCACATAACCAGAATCTCTTTGAGCTCTTCAATAATTAAGAGTGTAGGGTGGCACCTGTGGTTCAGTAAGTAGGGTGCTGGCCCCATATACCTAGGGTGGTGGGTTCAAACCTGACCTCAGGCGAACTACAACCAAAAAATAGCCAGGCGTTGTGGCAGGTGCCTGTAGTCCCAGCTACTCTGGCGGCTGAGGCAAGAGAATCACCTAGGCCCAGGAGTTGGAGGTTGCTGTGAACTGTGTGACGCCACAGCACTCTACTAAGAGCAATAAAGTGAGATTCTGTCTCTACAAAATAATAATAATAATTAAGAGTGTAAGGGGCCTGGGTGCAGTGGCTCATGCAGGGAAATACACCACTGCACTCTACCTAGGGTGATAGAGCAAGATCCTTGTCTCAAAATAAAAAAATTTTAAAAAGACAATGTAAAGGGGTTCTGAGACCAAACGGTTTAAGGCCAAGAAGAATCCAGGCAGGCCTTGCTGGGTTTCCCCATTTAATTTGTTAGCATTAGATCATACCTTTGTTGTCCAATCATAGTTCTACAGGGCTGGCCATACTTGGTTGAATTTAACTATACGAATGGACAATTTCCCCTGTATCTTTGAGTCTTCATTCTGAAAGCTCTCCTATGGACACATTAAATAAATGCATGCCTTTTCTCCAATTAATCTGCCTCTTGCCAGTTTATTTTTCAGTGAAACTTCAGAGGGCCAAGTGGAACTTCAAGAAATCTTTAAGGAACTTCAAGAAATCTTTGAGGTCAGGCATGGTGGCTCATGCCTGAAATCCTAGCACCCTGGGAGGCCAAGGTGGGAGGATCACTTGAGGCCAGGAATTGGAGACCAGACTGAGCAAGAGCGAGACCCTGTCTCTACTGAAAATAGAAAAAAATCAGCCAGCTCAGAGCTTGTAGCACAGTGGTTATGGCGCTGGCCACATGCACCAGGGGTGGTGGGGTCGAACCAGCCCTCAGCCATTGTTGCTAAAGAACAATGACAACTGCAACAAAATAATAGCTGGGTGTTGTGGTGGGTGCCTGTTGTCCCAGCTACTTGGGAGGCTGAAACAAGAGAATTGCTTGAGCCCAAGAGTTTGAGGTTGCTGTGAGCTGTGATGCCACAAGGCTTCACAGCTGTGATGCCTTGTACACTAGCAAGGTCAACATAGTGAGACTTTGTCTCAAAAAAAAAAAAAAAAAAAGAGAGAAAAGAAAAAATCAGCCAGACATGGTGGTGGGCCCTTGTAGTCCCAGCTACTTGGGAGGCTGAGGCAGGACTACAGCTGGAGCCCAGGATTTTGAGGCTGTAGTGAGCAGTGATGTTACCACTGTACTCCAGCCTTGGACAAAACAGTGAGACTCTGTCTCAAACAAAACAAAACAAAACAAAATAACAACTTTGACATCAGAAATTTATATAGAAAAAAAATTTTTTTGAGACACAGTTTCACTATGTTGCCCAATAGAGTGCTGTAACATCACAGCTCACAGCAACCTCAAACTCTTGGGCTTAAGAGATTCTCTTGTCTCAGCCTTCCAAGCAGCTGGGATTACAACGCCCAGCTATTTTTTGGTTGTAATTATCATTGTTGTTTGACAGGCCTGGGCTGGGTCCAAACCCATCAGCTCCAGTGTATGTGGCTGATGCCCTAGCCGCTGAGCCTATATACAAAATATTTATTACATAATAAAGTTAGAAACAACCAGTAGTCTTTGAGTGATTAACAGGTAATGGGAAATAAACTCACGAAGGCCTTTGGGTGGCACTGGAGAATGCCCAGGAAAGGATATGGCTCGAGAATAATGACGAGACGGCGCGGGGAGGCCGGGGGTGGGGGACAGGGGCAGGAAGGAATGGGACCCTAGGAAGCCAAAACCAGGGAGCGGCTGAGATGTGTGTGGAGAGAGGGACAAAGGGACAATCTAGAAGGGAGCGTTGTGGAGAGGAGCTCAGACCCTGCTAACAATGGGGGCGTGAAGAAAAGGAAAATGTGGAGGCTGGGCGGGGTAGCTCACGCCTGTAATCCCGGGACTTGGGAGGCCGACGTGGGTGGGTTGCCTGAGCTCACCAGTTCGAGACCAGTCTGCGCGAGAGCAAGACCCCCTCTCAAAAAAATAAAAATAGCTGGGTGTTGGGGCAGGCGCCTGTAGTGCCAGCTACTTGGGAGGCTGAGGCAAGAGAATTGCCCCAAGATTTTGAGGTTGCTGTGAGCTGTGACGCCTCAGCACTCTACCGAGGGCGACAAAGTGAGACTGTCTCCAAAAAAGAAAGAAAGAAAAGAAAATGCGCGATGCGGGAAGCCCAAGGGACCTCCACCTGGACCCCCTAGAGCCCAAGGGCTCGCTTCCTGCAACAGCTTTAAAGCTAGGGGAGGGCTGTGGAGCAGGTAGAGCGAGGATTCTCAGAGGTGAGCGGCGTCTCCGTCCTGCACCCGCTGAGGACGCGCAGCCAGAGCTGGTAGGGGCTGGCTAGGCTGAGGGGAGCAGACGGAGGGAAGCGTCCCCTCGGGGCCCAGGAGTCGGAATGCGCCAAGGGCGTCTTTGTGGGGTGCAGCGGGGCTAGGAGCGGCGGTCCCAAGGTGGCTGGGGGGAAGGTGGAAGTCAGTTTGGGTAATGCTGGGGGCACCTTGGCTGCTACCACCAAGAATTAAAAAAAGCTGCACGCAAGAGCCCGCAGCTTCAGTAGCACGACCCCGGTCTCCCCACAGGATGAGGGAGGATGACAAGTGTCCAATGGCTGCGCGTTGTGAGCGAGAAATGAGCTATGGGCCAGGGCTGGACCAACGCAGAGGGGTGGGCCAAATGAGTGAGAGCCGGGGCAATGGCGAGGATGCTACGTCAAAGATGCTGGGCTGAACGGAAACCAATGGATTCAATGAGCGTAAAGAGACCTTCCCTCCAGCTTGCTCAGTATTGTGATGAAGGTGAACAAGTCCTTTATAAACAAATGCTCCAGCTTCCTCGACAGAGATGAAGTCAAATCCCAGAGGAAGTCGAGGGGTCTCAGTTAAATCCACCATTCTCGTGCAGCGAGAGCCCTGCTCAGGAACTGAATTCAGACCGCTAGCCCCAAAGACGCTCAGCTCCGGCTGAATTAACACCCAATCCCCGCCCCTTCAAAGAGTCACGGCCCCGCCCCTTCGCTCCGATTGGCCAGGAGGCCTGCTTGGCTGCGGCGCAGGAAAGACCCGGAGAAACTGTATGTGCCCCGGGAATGGGCCTGCGGACTGTTGCGCATGCTCGCGCTGTGACCCCGGCCTGAGGTGACGGCCGGAACCGAAGCTGGAGGCAGCTTGCATTGAGGCTGAGGAACACGCCACGGCTGTGTCACCGCTGCGGTCGGTGAGAACGGGCCCCAGCGGGTGGGGAGGGTCCTGAGTCCTGCAGTGGACACGCCTTGGCCCGGCTCTCCTGGAGGTCTCCAGGGTTGCTGGTGCTAGGAAGGGGTTCCCCTGGCTGTGCGTCCTAGCGTTCGGGCCGCCTCCTTGTCAGTCGTCCACAGGTCACCTCCTTCCCCTTCACCCCTCCTCGCAACCCACAAACTCCCTGGACTGATATCCCCAAATCAGAGAGCCCCACATTCTCCCGCCTTTCTTGGCTGTGTTCGCCCCACCCGGTGCTGCGCCCCCCCGGACCTTCCACCACTCCTGTCCCATCTTGGTGGTTCCCAAGGCCCAGCAGAGATGGCAACAAGTTGGAGGCGTGAGATATTGAGATTGGGAAGACACTCCGGAGCCTTAGAATTGAGGGGAGGTGGTGATTTGATGGGAGAGAAGAAAACTGAGTCTCTGGGGCCATTTAGGCCAGCAGAGCCAGCATTTGATGGAAATTACTTTAGGTAAAGGAGGAGTAAAAGTAAAAAGCCATGGTGATCAAGGAAGGGAGGTGCAGTTACTGAAATTCCTACTTTGGGGAATTTCTGCCGCCCATAGAAGGTAGATCTTGACCTTTGTGTGTGTGTGGGGGGGGGGGTCGTGCTGCTTTTTAAAATCTCCTTACCAGGATATATACCGCACACCTAAATGTCTCATCATCCCAGCAACATACTTGTCACAATTCTCCATGGACTGCATGGAACACCGATTATTAGGGAGGAACTGTCATTATCACCCGAATACTGCAGTGAATTCACTGCTATTGACAACTTCTACTAAATTCCTTGGGTTACCATCCCCATTCTCTATCTTCAAAGCCAGCACCATCTTTTCTCTTGGATCTGCTTCCAACCATTACGTCTCTTTCTCACTCTCTAGTGCCTTCCTCTTCCTCTAGTTTGTTTATGAGACAAGTCTTGCTCCCTCATCCAGGCTGGAGTACAGTGAAGCAATCGTAGCTCACTGTAGCCTTGAACTCTGGAGTTCCTAATATATAGCAATATCAAACCATGAAATTCTTGGCTCAGCACCTGTAGCTCAAGCAGCTAAGGCACCAGCCACATACACCGAGGCTGGCCATTCGAATCCAGCCCAGGCCCGTCAAACGACAAAACAACTATAACCAAATAATAGCTGGGCATGGTGGCGGGTGCCTGTAGTCCCAGCTACTTGGGAGGCTGAGGCAAAAGCATCGCTTAAGCCCAAGAGTTTGAGGTTGCTGTGAGCATTGACGCCACAGCACTCTACGCAGGGCAACAGCTTGAGACTCTGTCTCAAAAAAAACAAAAACAAAAACAAAAAACCCACCAGATTCAGAGTTGAGAGGAGGGAATAAAATGAGTAAGATAAGATAACTATTAAGCCTTTTGCTCTGGCTTTTTTTTTTTTTTTTTTAGACAGAGTATCACTTTGTCACCCTTGGAAGAGTGCCGAGGTGTCAGACCTCACAGCAACCTCAAACTCTTGGGCTCAAACAATTCTCTTGCTTCAGCCTCCCTAGTAGCTGGGACTATAGATGCACACCACAAAGTCTGGCTATTTTTAGAGGTGAGGTCTTGCTCTGGCTCAGGCTGGTCTCAAACCTGTGAGCTCAGACAATCCACCTGCCTGGGCCTCCAGAGGTGCTAAGATTACAGGCTTGATCCACCACACCTGGCCCATTTTGCTGTGTTTTTTATTCTGTTTTTTGTTTTGCTTTGTTTTTGTTTTTTGAGACAAGAGGGTTTTACTCTGTTGCCCAGGCTAGAGTGCTACAATGTCAGCCTAGCTCACAGCAACCTCAGACTGCTGGGCTCAAGTGATTCTCTTGCCTCAGCCTTCCTAGTAGCTGAGACTACAGGGACCCACCACAAAACCCAGCTATTTTTAGAGGCAGGGTCTCACTCTAGCTCAGGCTGGTCTCAAACTCATGAGCTCAGGTGATCTCAGCCTCCCAGAGTGCTGGTGTTTCAGGCATTAGCCACCGCACCTGGCCCTTTTCTCTTTTTTTGTAAAGACCTGAAGCAATCCTTCTGCCTTAGCCTCCCAAAGTGCTAGCATTACAGCATGAGCCACAACTCCCAGTCCCTCTTCCTCTTTTAAGGACCCCACTGATGGCTCAGCACCTGTGGCTCAAGTGGCTAAGGTGCCAGCCACATACATCACAGCTGGTGGGTTAGAATCCAACCTGGGCCTGCCAAACAGCAATGACAACTACAACCAAAAAATAGCTGGGTGTTGTGGCAGGCACCTGTAGTCCCAGCTATTTGGGAGGCCAAGGCAAGAGAATCGCTTAAGCACAGGAGCTGGAGGTTGCTGTGAGCTGTGATGTCTCAGCACTCTACTCAGGGTGACAGCTT